CAAACAAAACTAAATATACTTGGTAAGATTGTGTGTTTTTGCAGTGTAGATGGATAGATAGAAAACTTTACTTTTCATCATCTCTGTCTCCCACATATCACTCTTGTACATAAAAATGCTTAAAACATTAAAAACTTAAATGTCTTCTGTACCCAGATGCAGTTAAACGAAGGTAAATAAAGTAAATAAGGATGCAGATCTGGAAAAAATTAAGAGCCCACATTACTGAGTCCCATTGGAAACCTCCTAATTATTGCACCAAACATTGATTTCTGAACTCTTTGAGTTAAAACATTAATATAGTTGTTTCTAAATGAATATCAAATTGTTTTCTTTACATTATTTCAGGTCTGAAAGCGCTGAATCTTTTTATTTTGACCTTTTCTCATTTTCTGCTAATAAATATTACATTTTTGCTTGTAATTTCAGAGACATGATGTCAGTAGTTCATAGAACAAAAGGACAATGTTCATTTTACTCAAACATATAGATTTAAAGAGTAAAATCAGAGAAACATNTCNTNTTAAGTGGTCTCTTCATGTTTCCCAGAGCTGTAGATCTAAATTTAACCCAACAGCAAATGATTAAAGATTAAAGTCAGTCTTGATGTTATTTAGACAAAATGTAATATTTATTAAAATAAAAAAATTTAATTTCTTCACCTATTTATAAGAATTACAGACCCACACAATGCAGCTCATAAAATATCATAAAATAAAAAATTTGTTGTGTTTCTCTATTAAGAGAAAATTTCACGTTTATTTTTAAAAGTGGGATGATGTGAACGTTTATATGTAAATACATGAACTTACAGTCAGGAAGCCAATTTCTATTTTTCCTCATTGTTTGGTTGAAATCAATGTTGCATTTATATAAATGTATATATTTTTGTATACAGCAGCAGATGGGTGGGTACTGGTATCGGGCTTAGGATTTAAAATGTTTCCCTTCATATTGTTTCTACTGCGTCCACTGCCCCACCCCTACCTGTTGCTGCACACCGCTAGTCATCTTGGAAATGTTTCTGTGACTGTAAGGTGTTTTATCTGAGCAGATTGGACTAATTAACCAGCTGGTAGCTTGTTAAACTGCAGGTTTTATTCTATAAAGAGTAGATAAAAGTGTTTATATTCTGGATAATAAGACTGAAACTATACCACTAAATTTGTCGAGTGTTTTTGTTTGAGTCAATAAATAAGAATAATGGATTGATTATAGGTGATCAGCTCAAAAGAACAACAAAATGAAATGATACAGATGTCATTATTATTACTTTGACAATCAATTTGCACTTTTTTTAATCAGTTATAAGAATAATGGTGTTTTTCCGTTTTATTAGGTCACATTTTTGTTTATAATTATAGTGAGAATCTCGTATTTCTCCATTCTTGAATTTGATTTCTGGATATTTTTGGTCTGAAGGAGCATGAAGAATGAAAACATATTTATATATCTGAACTTTATTCACTTTAGCTCTATAAAGGTTGTATCTATCTATTCTTTCATCCATTTCTCTCTCCATCTGTGTCGCTGTCCATCCCTCCATTAATTTATCTATGATCCATTTATTCATCCACACATCCAGCCACTCGTCTGGTATTCATCCATCCATTGTGTTTTTTTTTCCATGTATAAAACCTTCCATAACTCTTTTGATTTATTTAATGTTTTAGTTTAAGTTTAAAAATGGGTTTGCAAAATGAAAGTGACTGGAGGTCAAATACTCTACAGGCCAACTGAATTGTTTTTACAGTACATACTGGGATTTTTTTTTCGTCCTTGCATAAATTAGGCTTTCAGATTTGTACCAAAACGTGTCGCAGTTTCTTCGTAAAACCTGATGCTACGTCGACTGAACCGAAGGTTTAAGCTAAAACACATTTCTCATGTGAGAACGCGGCTAAGTCTGATTACAAGTGGAGATTTATGAACGCCGCTGTGTTGCTAATTACGGCTCCCCGCGTACGTGTGGGAGGGTTTAGCTTGTTTTTTTTGCCCCTCTATTTCATCAAATCAAGATGCCGGCACGCTCATCTGGAATTAAAAGCTCCACATGCAGAAATACCGCCAGTTGTGCTAATTGCAACTCTTTTGTAATTAAAAACACTGAAACAATTTAATTAACGAGACTTTTCCCGGGCATCGCCGTTAGAATCCCGATCAGCTGCAGCGAGACGACGGGCACGGCGGAAAGCGGCGCAGTTGCCCTTAAAAATGCCACCTCTTCGACATTAAGACGCCGCCGGCTGGCTGCACGGTTTTCTCCTATCTCATCCCTTCCTGCACGTCTCTGGGGGGGGCGGCGGTCTCTGCAATTAACACTCTGGCAGTAATTAACACCGTCTCGAGGCGACCAATGGCGCGGAAAGGATGAGGGCATAACGTGAAGTGGGGGAAGGTGCAGCGCCGGCTTGTCCATGTTTCCCGTTCAGCTGCCATTTTGTGCCAGTCTTAGCACCTAAGATGGTGGCGGGACTGTGACTTGCCATGCGGGAGAGGAGGACAAACTGGCAAGGGAGGGGTCAGAGACGAGGAGGATTATGGGATCGAGGAAGGAGTCTTTTATTTTCATTCTTCTAGTTGGTGCATCACTACCAAGACGGCGAGGGGGGGAGGAGAAGGAGGCATGATCGTCACATCGCTGCCCTACATGCACATTCAGGAGGAACTCTCCCACTCACAAACATGGCACAGGAAAAAAAAAACAAAGTCACAGGAGGGAAACACAACTCCACATGTCGGTCTGTTCATTAAAAAAAATAATAAAGCGTCCAAATGTACACACAGTGCCCCATGCATGAGCAAACACACACATTCGCACAAACAACCAACACAGCCGTTCTCATGGTATGGTCTGCCCCTGAGCATGCAAATGACATTCATTATGCAAATGCATACAAATCAGAGCCAACCATCTGAGAATCTGAGCTGGGGAAAAAAAACACAAAGAATGAAATTAAATGAATGAGGGGGGAGGAGGGAAGTACAGTCCGGTCAACAGAAAATGGATTATAACCTGCTTCATTAGGACACAAACTGGCTTAAATCTCGGTTTTACACTGATAAAAATACTCGCACTTTGTCTGCTAATCAAGCACTGATTTTATATAGCAGCTGGATAAACCTTACAGCATGCTGAGTGACGTTGCGTTCTCTTACTCTCACCAGTTAACACCGTTTAATGTGACCCTCTAAGAGCTTCAAATTGGGAGGAATTGAGCTCAAAATGTGCCTGAAGGGTCACGTAATTAATACCGAGTTTGTTTCTTTTTCACGCGGTTTTAATGGCACCTTTGAGTTTCTTCGGTTTTTTGTTATTTAGATGTCCTTTTGTTGTATTTTTTTGATTCCACAAAATCACCTGCAAAAAAAAGAAGGAAAAAAAAAAGGCTTCCAGTGGAGTGGAGATGCTCCAAACGAGGCAAAGTGCTGCTAATTGCCTTTTCGCGGTGGTCTTTGTTTTGTCTCCACCTCTGCCTCTGCAGGACGCGCTCTCTGAAACCCAACAAGAGCTGCAGTCTCATTATGTGCTTTTATGAAGGCTGCCATAAAAGAAGCCAAACCCTGATGAGTATGGATTAATATTCATGTGAGGGTGGGGAGGGGGATGAACGTGTAAACACTCGGCCTTTATGTGCAGGAGCCTGAAACATGCATGAATCTGCAGCAGTTTGCTGCTAAATGCAGAACGATATCACAGCAAGTTACCTGTGTGAGGTTTTATAAAGGCCACGGCTTCAAAAACAAACGCTCCCCCCAGAGGAAGAATCGTCTCTAACATCATGGGGAATAGAGGCACACACCCTCCCCTCCCACACCTGTTGCTGGAAAGAGTTACACTCAGTCAGTGGAACAAGCTCCTCCTTTTTCACCGATCCATCCAGGTTTGACTAATGTATATTTTACTATTTTTATGTCTGCCTCTCTTTAAGGTTATCCTGATGCAAAATAAATCACTGAAGTTGCTGTTTATGTGTTTTGATAAATATAATCGTAATTTTAAAGTTATTTTAGCTGATGAAATACTGAAATCCAGATGGTAGTTTCTTAGTTTTTGTTAAAGTATTTAAAAGGAAAGACCAACCAGCAGCCTATAAACACCAATATTAAAGTTAGAAAATACTGAAATAGTTATATTTTAAATTGAACCTAAGCATCATTAGCAGTTAGCAGGGCATTAAACTGGTAAATAATTGTTTATTACATACCCAAGACGAGGGCTGCCCACTTCCTACTGACTGGACATGACAATAAACTGTAGAACTTATGACGACGTTTTTGTTCCTGAGCATTCATGCCATCCCTAAACGGAAAAATGCCCTGGGCAGAGAGCCGTATCAAAGCTATTATAGCTCTCTGTCAGTTTATAAAAAGTAGAATCACAGAAATTGTTCATATTTTTCTCAATAAACATGTTGATGGATGTTTACCTTTCTGCTTAACTCTGTTTATCAGAATAAAAATAATTTTAAATTACACATTTAAATTAAAATTGTGATTTTCAGTGTTTCATTCTTGTGGCACCAGTGGGAATAATTGCTGCTTTCGTTTTCTGAGTTAAAGAAATTAGATTTTTGCCATCGTAGTTTTACAGCAGCAGGACAGGCCCATTTCCACGTTGCATTTCAAAAGTATTTCAAATACGAAATCAATTTCACTCTGAGGAATTTCACTCTGAGGAAAAAAAAAAGATATAAGATGGAAAATTGTTCAAAGTAAAAAATATCTAGTACTGAATCTCTTCAACTATATAAAATATAAAAACTGTATTAAACTGTAAAAAAATATACATGCCATGTTTTCTGGGACTTTTCTGGAAACATATGGGATTGAAATATTTGTATTTATTTTTGAATGAGACGATTAATCTGAAAAGAATAATCCCTGATTAGACTCAGAAATGAGGATTTGTAAAGTGTGTGTTTTAAAGCATTCCTGAAAAATACTTGACACCAAAAATGTTTTAATATTTCTGTGAATGTGACTCTTACTTTTGTGATTTTTGTAATGTTTTCTCTCAATTTGCCATAATAAAATGTGTTCTGATTACCTTCTCATTTTAGTGACTCTGTTTTTAACATATTTTTCAAGAACAGCAGATCTGTGAGGTTTGAAATCACTCATGAGTGTTTAGTTTGAATTTAACCTTTTATAAAAAAAGAAATGAGCACACAGATGCTAGCCCATAGTGTGAGTTTGCTCTTTTTAATCCCAGTTATTGTCTTTTCGCCCACAGCGCACACAGATGCGTCCCTCCCCTCTCGGTAAAATCGGCGCTTATGTAACGCAGCATCATACCTTCACATCATTGGTTAGCAGCAGCTGCCGTCCACCTCCAGCCCGATCCGCTGCTCTCTGGGCTCAATTTCCACGCCGTTTTCCTTCTTCCTGTGCAGGCGTGTAATGGGATTCTTGTTACTTTCGGTTATCTAGCTTTATGAAGAATGTACGTCACTCATACAGCTAGATAACCAAAGATAACAGACAACCCCTCAGGCCTGCAGCAACGAATGCGCGACAGAAACCTCTGGATGCTCCTGGAAGGACAAACGGCCACAGAAAGCAGAAGACATCAGAACTAATTCACCAAAACAAAGCAAAGCTAATTTACTCTGGAATATGTGCCAACCAGCAGGCAGAGGTGTAAATTAAGATAGTAATAGTCTCACGTTATATATGTGGAGGTTTAACACAGACGACTGATCACATGGTGATAAACGCATCCCTGTGAAATTGCTTTAACAAATAAAAAAAAAGCATCTCTAAAGATTCACAAGGCGAAGCTGCTGGGAAAATGCATCCTCTAAGCAATTAAATGTCATGCAAATGAAATTTGAATTTTATTGCAATTCAAAGCAAAACCATACAGTAAAAATCTGATTTAAAAAAAAAACAGCAACATTTTAATGAGGAAGTAGATAAAGCAGCAACACAAAATTTAATAAATGTTCTAATTCTACAGGAAGTGTAAATCTGTACTTATAATAATGGAAAAATAATAAACATTACACACTATTGTGCATAACTTCCTGATGTACTAGTTTACACTAATTCTAAGAAATTGGAATTAAAAAACTAAAGTGTTTCAAACATGTTAAGGTAATTTTTGGAAGTAAAGAAAATGTTAATTTTTGTACTATGTGATGCATTTGAGAAAAAAATTATATTACAATTATTGCTGGAAGAAATTAGAAAAATAAACTTTATTTCAATGTGTGAGAGGGAATTAGTATTTTATTACAGCTTTTAGTAAACAGACTTTTATTTATTTTTTAATTAGCTTTCTTTTGGGTTTAAGTGGAGATGAGAAGCCTAATTAACACTCTACATTATCACAGAGATAATTATTCTTTCTTTACAGTGTGGTGGAAACAGGCCACTGATCCCATTCAACCCCACAGGCTGAGCAGATTAATGCCAACAGAAAACATTAAATACATATGTATTTATGAAGGGGGAACATGGTTTATTTTGCAGCTGCTTCCCTTTAATCAGTGTTTGGGTTTTTGCCAGAAACAGCCATTGCTGCAGATCATTTCTCTGCGTCACGTCTCCAGGCCATGACGCACTCTGAAGGTTTTTATTCACTCAGACAATTTCTCTCTCTTTTTTTGTAGAACTCCAGGAACGTTTTTCATTAATTTTATGGGTTTTTTTATTATTATTTTCATAAATGTTTTTAACTACATGCTCTCTGACGTACTTATTTATTTGGCGTTGTATATTTTTAGATTTGACAAAAAAAGCGACGTAGTTTGTCTAGTGTGTTTTTAATAAACCTTTTTGTCTTCATCAATTCTTACCTTATTTTTAACTTTATTTAAATAACTTGTATATACATTCATTTGTTTCTTTTGATTCTACATAACAGACCTGTAACGCGGAATAGTAATAAAGTGTTTTCCATGTCTTTTATTTGAATAATTGTAAAGTTTTTAGCTTTTATGGCAGCGATAGAAACGATCCCGACCGGATTTAGCGAACATTTCCAGACTGAAGTTCTTTCACCTCCTCATTTCTGAAAAGTTTGCGCCACAATGCAGCGGGATTGTGGAAATGTCTGTCAATCATATATTCACCTGGAGATTTGAAGGGTGTCTCGATCTTCAGCTCTACAAAAAACAACAATAATTAATAAAAATAATTAAACAAATATGGTGCGCCGGAAAATAAAGTTGCACACGGCTTCATCCACGTGAATTTCTGGGTTTTGGCGGAAATATCCTGGGATGATGGGAACTCTGTGGTAAAAGCTGCAGGTTGTATCGCTCTGCAGCTTCCGTGACTCTGCAGATGCTGCTGCTGCTGCTGCTGCAGACTCAAAGCGACGGGCCCCTTCTCCATCTCAAACATGCTGTGCGTCTCAGCGCATGGCTCAGCTGCCAAAATCTGGATTCTTTGCCCATCTTTGGACTTCAAGGGAAATTTCACGGTAGAAAATCGCATATTTATGCATGGAATAATCGAGTTCAATCTCTGGTTTTCTTGATTTGCGTAAAGATTTTGTGATGAAGCAAAAATACACAATAACAAAGAAAAATAACCTAAAATTATCTCAAAACTGATGGGAAATAAGCAAGGCTTCACTTTAAAATGATTATTTCCAAAAACTGTAACATTTTAAGTTAATATTTATATACAAAAGATAAAAGTACAGCAGAAGTAGGCTTGAACTTCCAGAGAGATTAAACAGGCCTTACGTAAGAGCCCTAGCTCCATAATCTCAGCCTGCAGGAAGTCCTGCTGCTGCTGGACGCACAAACCAAAATCATGCCTTAAATTTCTTCGCCTGTTCGTAATGTAGGCTAACTCTTAGTATGCAGAGTAGGCCGGATGCATTAGCAAAATGTTGTGAAAGGTCGCAGCAGCAAACAGGACAAACTATGCAGCACGAGGGTCATAACTCCTGGAAAAACCCCGCTGTGAAGTTGAGATGCACAATAAAAACTGTCACATGTGTCTCTTTACACAGTATATGGTGCATCATGGACTTATGTAACACTCGAAATAGTAATGAGAGAGCATATGGCAGATCCTGAGACAGTTTTGCATGGATACATTCAGGTTCATAAGATTTGAATCTGCGAAAACAACAGCATCTAAAGTAAATAACCGGATGTCTTTCATGTGGCTTTCTAAAAATTTGCTAAACGCGGCGCAAATAAGGATATTTGCATCCTGTGGTGCAATTTATTGCGGTTATCATTTAAAAACTGTGTTGTGTTGAAGCTGCAGATCTCCAAACAAACGTGTTTGCAGCCACAAGTGAAGCTGCACGTCTCTTGCTGCTGACATCACATGATGTTCGGAGTCTTTATCTCAGATGCTGCTGCTGCTGCTGCTGCGCACCATGCATGCATCTCTAACTCATCTCAACACAAACCCGCCTCCCTGGAAACAAATCCGGATCAAATTTATTCTATAAATCTTCACCTGATCCACATCCGGAGCCAAAGATAATAAACGATACACATATTTTTATTTAGCTCAGCTCGGAACACTTAAAGGGCAGCTGCAGCTTATATTTTGTTTGTTTGTTTGTTTTTATATCCAGACGAGATCAGAGTGTTGATAAATTATGTTTTTAAAGAGGAAGCAGGTCTTACTCTTTCCTCCTCGGGGGCTCCAGGGCGGGCTTTTAGGGGGTCCTCCTTGTAAGCGGCGGTCCCTCCGGGTGTGCTGCATGCTGGGAGCCAAATGAACGCGTTCATGAGCTTTGTGGCGACGACGCATCGTGACGTCCCAGCCGGCGCAGTCCATTTATGCTCCTGACGGGTCCATCCTCCGCGTCCACAGCTCCGGTCCTCCCCGCTGCTAACGCGGGGCTTGGAGCCGCCCTCACGCCCCGGACAGCTACATCTCCACCAGCGATGTCTCCCAAAGTGACTCAACGTCTCGTTTGTCCAAATTCATATAGCTGCGTCCAGAGGAAGACCACACCCCCATGTGGGTCGGTGAGGTAACACTGTTCCCACCCTCTTAGCTTTTTTTTTTCTTTTTTAATTTATGCAAAACGAAAGATCCCATTATAATACGAACCGTAAGCCTGGCACCGCTGCTCACGCCCCCCAACAGACGCATGCAGAAGTGCATCAACCATGCATGCCTCTGACTCTAAAGGTCAAATATCCTCATTTTTTCCATTTCCATATAGTCCAGCCTTCCAACTCCCAGTAGTTAAATTAATTTCCATTAAATGAGTTAAACTTCTTCAGACTGATAGTCACCAAACAAGTGGTGCATTTGTTTGGTAATACTGTAGCATTTACACTTAGAAAATATGCAAGTTATACTTTTTATAATGTGTTTTCTCTTGGTGAAATGTCTGTTTGACATAAATCATCATCATCATCAAACACTGGAAACAGATGAAAGTTGCAGAAGTGAACAAAACTCTCTTGAAATTGAATTTTTGAGAGTAAGAAAACTGAAACAATTATAAATCTTTCCAAACTTTTCCAGCCTGCAATGTGGCTGATATGTAACCAACATCTGTTTGAATGAAAACCTGGTTGCAGAAGTTTATTGGAAGATATTTTAGTTTAATTTCAGCATTTGTTCCTCATTAGTTCACACCAATTACATAGTGGAGATTTTTAACATGAATATTTTAACATAAAGTAAATATGTACAAAAGACAATATTTTTTCTGTCATTTAATTGTTTCATCCATCCATCAACTTTGCACCACATTTTTGCTCATTCCCACTTTATTTATCCACAAAGGAAGTTAAATCCTGTCATAACTCATCCAACTTTCTCCAGAGTCATGGATGATGGTGATGCTGTTAGCAGAAAGGATCTCCTGTAGCAGTCAGTCTCGCAACATATCAGAAAAGGCCTCTGACAGAAGCATGTTGCTGCATGACAGTTTCATAAAATGACAAGCTGACAGGTCAATATTCAGGCAGCAGAGATGATATTTCACAATAACATGTCCTGGATGACACCATCAGCTGTTGGAAAGCACTTCTGCTAATCCACCTCATTTGCTTTTACCACTGCTTTTTAAATCTCTATCCATCCAGAAGAGTTAGCTTGAACCTCCTTCTTCTCTCTGCTCTGCATCCATGAAGTCTCCTCTCCAACTCATCTGGGATTTGTGGTTTTAGTTCAGATATTATTTGACTTCCTGAGCTAATATTCAGGTCCTGGTTGTAAAAACAATACCTCGTTACCATGGTTACAAATCATAGCAAATGTCCAAAAGTAAAAAAGTAAAAGCGGAAAAGTCTTTCCAGCTGCACGGCGTCCAGAATATCCAGTCAAAAGCAGCTCCACAACTCCTTTTTTTTTTCAGATGTAACTGAGATTTGTGTTAAAACGAATAAAACATTGATAAGTTTCAAATACTTGTAAGTTTTGATGCAAAAAGAAAAACATTATAAAAAAAACATCAAAATCACCAAAACAATGGGTTCACTTGAAGAAAATGAAAGTTTAATGACCAAGTTTCCAGAACTAAATCTGATGGGGTCACTTAAAAATGGACAAGGAGACGACCTTGAAGTTTGAAAGATTTGGAGATTTTTTCCTGGGCAGACAGTGAAGATATTACTAAGTCAAGATGTGGCCTCCTGCTAGACACCAAGGAAGATTGAATGATGCAATTAAGTCAAAAGTTAATTCAGCAAAGTGTTCGACCAAGGGTGAACAGACATGGTTATTGCAGCTTTTTATAGTTTCCCCTGACAGAGTTGTTTGTTTTTAATATAAAGGTGTAACATTTAAAATGATTCATCACAGCCTAAATTATTCAAAACCCTGGGAGTCACTGTAGTAACAGCAATACATAAATGTCTTAAGCTTCATTTAGAGTTCAGAAATGAAAGATTTATGTCAGAATTTGTTCCGCTGTAAAGAAAAGGAGATTTATTTTTCTGAATGCAGTATCCTGGAGACCAATCAAACCAGAACCCTACTCAGGGATTTAAAAGTTCTCTGCATGGACCCCCGCTGGAGGGTAGAAGAGAAGCTAAACTACTGACATGTACAATCAGACTGCAGCTACAGAAAACCAATGTCATTCACTTGGCTCAGACACAAATAAAAAGCTGCAGGTCAAGCTAATTAATGGTTAAACATGTAGGAGGATGTGTTACTGATTAAACAGAAACATCAGCACGTTTCATAATGACAGTAAAATTTGCTTTAAAAGAAAGAATATTTTTGTAGTTAAGTCAAAGTTTCCAAGTGATTCTTAGTCCTGGGAAATGAATTGTTTTCGACAGAGATGGATTTTAGTGAGAAACTTACCTATCCTCCCTACCTGTGTTTATATCTATGGAGCGGATTACTTCCTGGATGGATCATCTTTAAAATAAACGAGTCAGTTTAGACAAGTTGTTCCACAGTCATCCGACATATTCCTGTTTTTAATTAAGTAATAAATTTTTATTCTGTATAAACCGTAAAGAAACAGGCTTGAAGATGTAGCCATGTTTCATTTATAAGCTTCCTGTTTCAGTGCCTCCTACATCCATCTTCTGTTTTTAGGCCAGGATGTCATATTACAAAGCCATTTTTAAGGTTTTGGAACTTTAACGAACCACAAAAATCACTTGTGACCAAAACCAACACAAAAGCCCATCTGTCCAAAATATCTTAGAGGGCATGTATTAAGCAAAGTTCAAATTTTTCATGATTCTGTGCTTACATTTTGTGTTTCTACCACTTCTGAAAACATCCCAAGTGCTTAAAAAACATGTAAAGTAGTTCTTGGCAATTTTATGTTTTTTTTGTGTCTGGAAAAGGAGCCACTTCAAAAAAAACCTTCTGAATGTAACGTCACAAATCAGCAGTCATTGCCTGTTCTGTGGCAACGCCAGCGAAGCCCAGCCAGTTACCTAGCATCAAAAGTAGAGTTCCAGCATGTTTGGTTACTGCTGTATTCACTGTACAATGGCTGCTGGAAAAGATAAGTGTTTTATTGTTAACTTACCATCCAGAAACCACTTGCTGCATTTTTGTTGGTTGTGCAGGAGGCTCCACTAATGCTTTTCAAAGATGTATGATTGTATAATTGCGCATCTGTTTGCAGCCATATTTACAGTTTAAACGAGTGTAAACGTCAAGATGCCAGCAGCGTTTTATTTGGATTTACAGTGACAAGAGGCCCTAAAACAGCTCATTCTGACAGGAGGTCAGAATAGGCAAAGCTGAACAGACTAAAACCTCACTGTCCAAGAATGATTTTGTGCAAAAAATGTAATGTTTGTATCGCCCATAAACCTATCCTAACCTGTTCAAGGAAACATAGTAGATCACCTTTAAGGATTTCAGTAAATTAGCATCACAGCTACAGTCAAACATGGTAGTGGTAGTGTCATGATCTGCGATGACGCTGTTTTTCTGGATCAGTCATTTAATACTTAAAAATTACATAATCAATGGAACAAAATATAAAGTTTTGTGGAAATTTTTGTATTTTTAGGACGAAAATGACCATAAATCAAATCAATCAATTCAAATTTTCCCAAATCAGTTTCTTTCAATAAAAACTTATTAAACTTGAACAAAAACTGCAGGTGTGTGTCTGTGTCTGGTTAAAAACATATTTGTTTTTCATTCAGTGGGTAGAAAATCCAGACATTTTACTGAAATGTAGAAATACTTCATAATAAAACTACTCAAGTAAAAAGTACAGCACTTCTAAATTGTTACATTTTTTCAAAAACCCAAGTAAATATAACTGAATACTACCCAACTATAATCACTCTGCTTACAAAATGATAAAATAATAATATAATTAGCTTCACTGACTCCAAAACTCAATAACTGGAGGATCCGAAAAAGGGACTGGAGTGATTGATGGCTGCTTTCCAGCATTTCTTCTTCTTCTTCTCTCCTTTGAGGCGTGAGAATCAGACAGTCTTCTGGCTGTTTTGGATCAAAGTCTGTCTCAGTTTCCTCCATTGTTTTACCGCTGCCAGGCCAGACGCCGCACGCAGCAGACTGAGCGGGAGATTCACTGCGTGCGTGGACGATCACGCAACTTGAGCTTTAGCGCACGCTGGAGGTGATCTGGAGGTGTGAACCCCCAACAACTGACCTCTCACTGTAAATATAAAGTGTAGATCAGAGTGGGTTTTGTCACCCACTCAGACCTGAGAGCGGGTTTGTGCCACGCATGCAGATCTGGCAGCCTTTCACCCCGCGTCGCGCCAGTATTCAAATCGCGATCGGCTGGATTGAAAAGGAGCTTAATGAGACGTGCTGGTGTATAATGGGCTGCGGGAAAAGCAAGCAGCAGCGTGACTTAAGTCATGAAGCACAAGAATTTCAAGCATTTTAAAAAATTTTGCTCATTTTCTCCTTTTTTCATGTCTTATTTCAGCAACATCCATACTGTGACCTGTAAAGAAATTTGCCTCAAGACTCTGAAAGCAGAATCTCGTATTTGTTTTGTGTATTTTAAAGTTGTTTGGACTTTAATTAATTCATCTGGAGCTCTGAAAACGACCAGGAACTCTCTGCCGTCCTCTCAACATGCAGCTGAGATTTAGAATCAGCACAACCCACTAAGAGGAGTTTTCTTGGAAAGAAACAAGGAAATGTGCTTGATTTCCAAAGCAATATATCTTGAATTGAAATATTTCATTTGTAGTCAAAAATTAAGTTTTTCAGTAATTAACAGATTTCCTTAACACTGTAAGAGTGAACTGAAGCATTATTCTCCTTTTTATTAGATGTAATTATTTTAGCAACAGATTTCAATCCACCAGAGCTATTCTTTTAAAAATAAAATAAAAATATATTCTTGTCTCTCTCAGATTTCTGCAGATTTTTGTGTTTTGCAACAAGTTGTCATAAAGCTATTTATATTAACAACCTTATTCAAACTGTAAGTAATAAAAATTATGATTTTTTTTGGATAAGATTAACTTCAATAATTCTAGATTAAACCATCACAAAATCTATGATAATTTATTAAA